TGAGAAACAAGGCACAACCACACGCAGGTGGCCCTCCACCTTCCCAGTCAAGACTTGGAAGGGCCCAACAACGGGATCTCCGCCCAGGAGAGACCAACAGGCTTCCTAAGTCGATTGGACGGCTCAAGCGAATGCCAAGAGATAGGTAAGGAGCAGAGGGGCACCCCATGTGGGCCATGATGACTCCATGATGAACGACGAGCACAGATCCCATTCGGACATATCTGATAAAAACTCCTCAAGCCTGTCACTCGGGTCATCAAGGTAACTCTACCAATCCCTATTACTTTATTTTTCATGATGCATGATCATTCATTCATCCATTCGCATATAGGCATTCGCAAATTCATTCACGCATTCATTCATTCATCCCATACATCCGAAGCATCGCATATGCAGTTAAATGCACCCCAACGCTCCGTGTTGCGTCACGAAGCAGAAGTTGCCTCATTCGACATGAGCAAATGATAGACCGAGGTTCCAAGGCTGGCCCACGAAGGGCTCGAGGCCGCCTCGCATCAAACAGAGCTAGGGGAGAAAACGCAGATGAGCCCCAACGGCCCTCGCCCACTCTACTCTAAAGCAGACAGGGTCATCTCAACCTTCTTGTTCGATCCTAACCTTGAGCCATGCCCATAGAATCTCCATCGAGCGGAGGCCAGCGGGCCACCTGAGTCAGTCTCTGGAATGACCCGGGCATCTGCCGAGATGCGGGTTAAGGAGCAGTGGAATGCCACATGAGGGCTATGTCGACAACGTCACGAACGACAGACCTGAATTCCACTCAAACATGCCCGTTAGCGAGCTCACCGAGCACGTCGCTTGAGCCATCGAGGCAAGCAACGTTAGCTCAACCCCTCCGGTTACAGAAACCACGGACGGGGTAATGCACGGAACTAGACCAACCCCTACCAAGCCCAACGGGGCTCAGAGGCTCAGGTCGCCTGACACCGACTTAGGAAATCAACCGACCGCGTAGGTCATGAATGGGACAAACATGGGTGAACACCCCGAACAATAGTCTGTGGCCCTAGGAAAGAGTACCAAGATGCTCAGCCTCCTACTGACTCATCAGTCGGACGCTGGCTCGGGGGCTACACCCGCGGGTGCGCTCGCGCGCACCCGCTATCAAAACAAAAATTCCCCCCCTGGCAAAATGAAAAACCCCTAGACGATTCTACCCAAATTGTCCGCGGGCTCAGGGGCTACACCCATGGGTGCGCTCACGTGCACCCACCGTCAAGATGAAAAATCCCCCAGATGATTCTACCCGAATCGCTTGGGGGCTCGGGGGCTCCTGTCGGGTTCATAAACTCGGGGTCCCTCATGGACCTGCTTCCCAGCAAAAGCTTAGCCCAGCAGACGACGTTGCGAACGACGCGCAACTCCTAGGCCGGCCCAAAAACCTAACGATAGGCCAAAAGGGTGATCCAGTCTCTGACTGGAAGGCCTGGCCAAGAAGGAACGACGCTTGCTTCCGTCACTTCCGACTCCGACCCGCCTCTCCGACCGGAAGGCCTGGCCAAGGAGGAACAACGCTCGCTTCCATCACTTCCGACTTCGGCCCGCCGCCTCTCCGACTGGAAGGCCTAGCCAAATAGGAACGACGCTCGCTTACATCGCTTCCGACTTCGGCCCACCTCTCCGACCGAAAGGCCTGGCCAAGGAGGAATGTCGCTCGCTTCCGTTGCTTTCGACTCTGGCCCACCTCTCTGACCGGAAGGCCTGGCCAAGGAGGAACGACGCTCGCTTCCGTCCCTTCCAACTCCGGCCCGCCTCTCCGACCGGAAGGTCCAAGGAGGACCGACGCTCGCCTCCGACTTCGGCCCGCCTCTCCGACCGGAAGGCCTAGCCGAGAAGGAACGACGCTCGCTTCTGACTCTGGCCCGCCTCTCTGACCGGAAGGCCTGGCCGAGGAGGAACGACGCTCGCTTCCGACTCCGGCCCGCCTCTCCGACCGGAAGGCCTGGCCGAGGAGAAACGACGCTCGCTTCCGACTCCGACCCGCCTCTCCGACCGGGAACACACCGAACCTCTGCTTACAGCTCTTCTCCAACCGGGAGGTTGGAGCCGACTGGGGAAAGACCGACCGGGGACGGCCGCTCGGTGAAGACCCAGGAAACGGATAGAGCAAGTAAGGCAGGGCGCTCCAGTCAACCGCAATACCAAGGACCGTACCTTGCACACCTGCAGGACAGTACTGTCAGGTCATGTCAGAAGGGTACTTTATAACCTTCCAGACATGTCAGAATATGAACAGTGTTATAGGCACCGACATTTATCCTACAGTATGATAGGCGCCGACATTGGCCATACCAGAAGAACGCAGCAGAACTGACCACGTGCATCCAGACATCAACAGTGTTGTGGGCGTCGACAAACCGCTTTGTACCCGACGGCGTAGGCAACAAGACTAGGTAGCACACACACTCTCTTTCTCTCACACTCTCTCTTGTAAAGTCGTCCCCTTCATCTATAAAAGGGGATGCGCTCTCTCCAAATAGAACGATCTATTCACATAGATGACAAGTCGGACGATCGATTCGGATCGAGTCAAACAACCAACGATTCCAACGAACAACATATGGATCATTCCGATTCTCTCTGCTCGGCTCTAGAACTCTAAAGCCGAACAGAGCAACACTTAGCACACGTCCGAACTCCCGTCACTCTCGGCCCTTCGGTCCGGAGTCCGACCGGACCTCTGATACCCCCCATCTTATTACTTCTGGTTTGTAACCCCACAACAAACTTCGAGCACCTGGGCTCAGGAATAAAGTCACCGACCGACTCAAACTGGACGTAGAGCAAGTTGCCTGAACCAGTATAAACCCTGTGTCATTGAGTGCTAGGCCACATCCGATCACAACGTACGGCAAAATTATAAATATTTACGTGTTGGTCACTTTTCGTATCGACAGATAATTTTTTAAAAGATTTCTTTTCGATTTTATCTCCCAGAACTTCCAATTAGTTCGATTTACACTTTTTGGCGTGACGCCACATCAGCAAAACCATCATTAATAAAGTCACCTAAGATGCAAAAAAAAACAGTTGACGATAGAGGGTACAAAAACTGGTTCAGACGACTTGAGAGAGATAAATTGGATCTTTTTTTATTAATGATAAGGAAGTAAGTTTATTTTTTAGCAGAGGATAAGGAAGTACTCCCTATCGCCTCTCTTTCCTTCGGCCCAATCTAGGAACGCAGTCCAACCCGCACAGCACGAGGAGGAATCTTTGTCCTTGCGGATTGCCGTCTCCAAATCCTAGCTCGGATTTGGACTTGGAGCGGTTCCGACTGAACCCACGTCACGAAGCTACCAGCCCAATACTGTGTGCTTTCCTTCCAACAGAGGAACTTCTCTGAAGCAAGCAAGCAAGCAAGCGAAGACGACTAACGAGAAACTGTCGGTGCTGGAAAACAAGATTCTTTGTTTTGCAAAACTAGAAGAAACCAGGCAGCGCCGCGGCGGGGCAGGAAGGAAAACCGCTTTTGCAAAACCAGAGCATGGACGGGGACATGCCATCTCGCCGTCTACCCTTTAACGGCCACCAACCCCCAGGCAGCAAACAGCGTGACCATCGTCATGCTAGGTCTGCTTGGTTCGTGATTAAAATTTGTCATAATAAAAATTTAGCAGTCAAAAGTTGATCATAAAAAGTTATCAAAGATTTGACAAGCCAATTATAAAAAAATAGAAAATTTAAATAGTCAATCAAATACTAGTTAAAATCATAGCTCCTTATTTTTAGCTCTAAATTTTGGACGTGAACTAAGCGGCTCGCTGTCTTCGTGGTAGACTGGCAGGCTGTGGTTTTTTTTCCCGGAGAAATTGGGAGGTGGGGACGAACACCACCGCCTTTGCCGCGGGGTCCACCTCCTCACGGGACCCTCCCGTCTGGCTGCCCTTCTCCGCCGCCTCACAAGTCCCTCCCGTGTATAAATCGGCACCCTCCCCAGGCAGTCGTTTCCTGATATATTCCAATCCCTAATCCCCAATCACCTCGAAGGAGTTCTCCCCCCACGACTCCGCGAGCGAAGCAAAGGAGCGTCCCTCGATCCTCCCAAGGTATGCGAGTTCTCGACCCCTCTCCTATGATTCCCCTATTCGTGCTCGTCGCAGGGGTCTGGTTCGGTCGTGAGGCGACAGGCTACGCCTTTAACTCTCTCACGCCCTGTGATCTGTAGTCGGTTTACGGGTAGAGGTGTAGATCTACGGGCTGTGATAGGTTATTTGGTGTCGATCCGTGCTCGTGTGATTTCACATATTGATTGAGTTCGAGCAGATATGACATGGTCGTACAGTTTGGTTTGCTCTCCGTGCTAGGTTGGGTTGATGTTGGCACGCGTGTGATCCCGCTGCCGGAGCGGCTGGACCTGCGCTTTATTGTTGGATTCACGTTACTGTCATGTGAATTGGTTTAGATTGTTGGTTAGCTAGATTCGTCTAGATAACTCTCTTCAGAGGGATACTTGATTCATGTTTGCTCTTTGTTAATATTCTCATCAAGATTTATTAATAATTTCATCTAGATTAGTTTATAGGCGTGATATGACTTCTACTCGTATGCCTGATGATGATCACAGATTGATACTTGTCGATATTGCTGCACAGCTGCACAATTGCTAATTTGCATTCTGAAATGTTTTTTTAATGAGGCGCAAGCCTCTATTGGACATCCTGAATATGTTACTCATTTAGATTAGGTTTTGCTGAATTGTTGTACCCGATAAGGCAATATATATCATGTGTTGCCAAATTTGTATCTGGTAGTTTAAAATTCAAATGCTAATGATTCTGCTACTGCTTATTATTATGATAAGCTTTAAATTTAGTTGTCAACTCTAACCTAGAGTGTATGATGCTGGGCAGCTAATATCCGTGGGATATTTTTTCTGTCCAGATTTGACCGGTTTCCGTATAGCAATTTTCTGTGTATTCTGTAGTTCTGTTTTTATGTTGGCTAACCCTCCTTATTTTTCTTGACGTTTGCAGATGCAGATCTTTGTTAAGACCCTCACCGGCAAGACCATCACCCTCGAGGTTGAGTCCTCGGACACCATTGACAACGTCAAGGCTAAGATCCAGGACAAGGAAGGCATTCCTCCGGATCAGCAGAGGCTCATCTTCGCTGGCAAGCAGCTTGAGGACGGCCGTACCCTTGCGGACTACAACATCCAGAAGGAGTCCACCCTCCATCTGGTGCTACGGCTCAGGGGAGGCATGCAGATCTTCGTCAAGACCCTCACTGGCAAGACCATCACGCTTGAGGTCGAGTCTTCTGACACGATCGACAACGTGAAGGCCAAGATCTAGGACAAGGAGGGCATCCCCCCGGACCAGCAGCGCCTCATCTTCGCTGGCAAGCAGCTTGAGGATGGTCGTACCCTTGCCGACTACAACATCCAGAAGGAATCGACACTCCACCTTGTGCTCAGGCTCAGGGGTGGTATGCAGATCTTCGTCAAGACCCTCACTGGCAAGACCATCACGCTCGAGGTTGAGTCCTCAGACACGATTGACAATGTGAAGGCCAAGATTCAGGACAAGGAGAGCATCCCCCGGACCAGCAGCGTCTCATCTTTGCTGGCAAGCAGCTCGAGGATGGTCGTACCCTTGCTGATTATAACATCCAGAAGGAGTTGACCCTTCACTTGGTGCTCCGCCTGCATGGTGGTATGCAGATCTTTGTCAAGACCCTCATCGGCAAGACCATCACCCTGGAGGTGGAGTCTTCTGACACAATTGACAATGTTAAGGTGAAGATCCAGGACAAGGAGGGCATCCCCCAGATCAGCAGCGTCTGATCTTTGCTGGCAAGCAGCTGGAGGAAACATTTGAGAAGTGTGGAGCTGAGGAAACATACCAAGGATGCTAGTACACTATTTTAGTGATCTCCACTTGCATAGTGCTTAGTGATTCATTAGGTGATTAGCGTAGGTGCTTTGCGAAGTGCTGAGGTTAATTAGACCACCGCTTATGCGCTTGTTCTAGGTTTAGGCCAAGTGCTTAGTGAGGTTTGCATACTTCTTACCACTCGGTGCTTGCGCGCATCATTGTTGTGCATCAAAGGGGCTTGTAGTCTTGCGAGATCACACCAACCGCGTTTATAGTGTGGCCGCCACCGTGTACCGGAGGGAACAAGGCCCACGGCGTTTCGGCCGGAAGCTTGATAGTGAAGACGGCGGGGAGCGGTCCGGGAGAGGCTTGCCGAAAGGCACACCGGAGATCCAATTGCATGTGGGGAAGGCCCGGGGCTATCCACGGAGTTACCCGATCGAGAGCTTGGCCCTTGCGGGGGGCTCCAACGAGGACTAGGGAGAAGCCTGCGCGCTTCTCGATACCTTGGTAAAAATACCGGAGTCATCGACGAAAGTTTGCATATCTCTCTACCTTGCTCTTTAACTTCCGTATTTACATTGTTTACATTACTACTTTTGCGGTAGAGATAGCAGCACACTAGAAAAACCGTAGTTGCACATTTAGATAGTTTATCTTTTGTATAGGTTTTGCTAATGTTAGAAAAAGAGGTCATAGTTTAGAGTTAAAATTTTAAGTTGCCTAATTCACCCCCCCCCTCTTAGGCGTCACGGTCCCTTACAAGTGGTATCGGAGCCGGTTGGCTCAATTTGGATCTTTGGCTTAACCGCCGTTGAGCCAACGCTATTTAGAGTGGTTGGGATGGATACCTCTAGGCCTCTGCACTTTGACGGCACTAACTTCCCCTACTATAAAGCTAGAATGGATTGTCACTTTGAGGCGGTAGATTTGGGTGTTTGAAGAGTCACTCGTGATGGGATGAAACCCATTAAGAATCCCGATAAACCCACAAAGAGTGAAGAAAAGAAAATTCATTTCAATGATAGAGATAAAAATTGCTTGTTTGAATCTTTTAGCATGGATGTGTTTAACCAAGTGTTCACTTTAAATATGGCACATAAAATTTGGTTAAAACTCCAAGAGCTCCATGACGGCACAACTAATATCCATGAGCAAAAGCATTGTCTAGCTAAATAAAATTATGATTTCTTTAAAATGAACGTTGATGAGCTTGTTCGTGATATGTATTCTCGTTTGAATCTTATTATCAATGAGCTCCATTCAATAGGATTAACAAAGTCAGATGATGCGAACATTGTGAGGAAGATCATCTCCGTGCTACCATAAAAGAAATATGCAAGCATCATCATCATCCTTCACAATATGAAGGACTTGAGCACTATGACCTTGGCCATAGTCATTGGCAAGATAGTGACATTTGAAATATCACGCAAGATGGGTCAAGAAGAAGCCTCTTCATCAAGCAAATGCAAAGCTCATGCATGTAGTAAGAAAAAGAAGATGAAGGGCAAGCGAGCTGAGACAAGCTCAAGCTCAAGCTCCTCAGGTGAAAATGAAGAAGAAGATGATGAGGATGATGATGATGATGATTCAAGTGATGATGATCAATCTTTCTCCTCCATCTCCGACCTTGATGAAGAATCTATCAAGCTTATCAACAAGGTGGAGAAGATGATCCGAGTACTCAATATCAAGGGTGTGTCCATTCAAATTCAAGATTTCATCTTCACCAATCAAAGAAATGAGCAAAGAAAGAGAGGATGCTATGGATGCGGCGAGTTGGGGCACTTTGTGGAAGTTTGTCCAAACAAGCCCACACCCAAGACAAAGAAGAAGGTGTGCAAGGACAAAGCCCTCACATCAATAAGGTCATGGGATGATTCTTCAAGTGAAGAAGAAGACCATCATAAGAGACGAGGGCACAAACACTCATCATCAAGCACCTCACGTGTGTGCCTTATGGCATGAGGTAAAAAAAATCTATCCCTAGTGATAGTGACAATGATAGTGATAGTGATGATGAGCTATCTTCTTATGATAAAATTATGCAAGAAAATCTTAACTTTGCTAAAGTTTGCACTAGTTAACAAAAGAAGCTTGAAAAATTAATAGAAAAACTAGATAGCTCACAACAAACTTATACTACTTTACTTGAACAATATGAAACTTTTACCAATCTTAATATGGAGCTATTTACTAAAATTGAGCAACTTGAGACTAGTGCAAACATAAATAATTGCACAATCAATGATGAGCAACTTGTAAAGAAAAATGAAAAATTAAAGAAAAACTTAGCTAGCTCACAAGATGCTTATAAAAGTTTGCTTGCTAAAATGGAAACTATATGCAACCATTGTGATGAGCTAACTAATAAAGTTGTTAATCTTGAAGCCGTTGGTACTACCCCCACCGAGGCACCTAAAAAGAAAAGTTCTATCTTTGACATGACTAAAAAGGATGCCTCTACTTCTTGCAATTTTAGGATGCCTCTACTTCTTGCAATGATTTATGTTTAGGCCCACCCTTGTGCAACCAAGTTTGTGTTGAGAAAGTTGTTGTAGATACATGCACACAAGAGGTTGCAATGGAGAATGACCAACTCAAGCAAGAAGTGGCTCGCCTCACCAAGGACTTGACTCAAGTGAAAGGCAAGACAAAGCAAGTCCAACTTCATCATGATAACACCGTCAAGGGAGTGAAGAAGCTTGGTGAAGGACAAACCATGGTTTGCTACGTGTATCACAAGGAAGGCCACAAATCCAATGAGTGCAACGTGAAGAATGGGGGAGGAGCAAAGAAGAAAGAGAAAAAGCAAGCAAGCAAGCTCTCCAACACCTACACCAACAAGGTGGACAAGAAGACATCCACACCTTATCTCTTGAAGAAGAAGAAGAATAACAAGGTGGTGACCATCAAGGTGAACAAGCAAGCCAACAATGGGGTCAAACGCTTTTGGGTGCCAAAGGACATCATTTCCAACATGAAGAGCACAAGAAGGTTTGGATCCCGAAAGAGAAGTGAGAAGTCCGATGGACTTCGGGGAATTTGGAGACTTGGCAAAGTATGGGTGTATTTCATGGGGTGCATCACATTGGATCATGTCAATTGCCAAGTGGGTTAATGAATATTATGGAGCCAAATTCCCCTTTCCATGTTAGGTAACTAGATGTAATTTCTTTGAATTGGTATTTCTTACGATTGGTATCTAGATTCAAATTCTTGTAATTAGCATCTAGTTTCTTACAATTGGCAGCAAATCGACAGGACACAGGAACTGCAACGTTCGATCGAGTACAGAAAGGTTCCAGAGCGGCGAAGTTGTGGCCGGACGTGTCCGGTGGCATGTGACCGGACGCCATCAGCGTTCGATCATTTGATCACGGCTCTAACGGTCGGGACGACCGAACGCATTCGGTCAGGATGAAAGCAGCGTCCAGTCAGTAGCAGAAAAGCAAAATTTCGTCCCCAACGAGGACTTTCTTAGTGGGGCTTATAAATAGACCTCCAACCGGCCATTTAAGAAGTGTGGAGCTAAGGAAACATACCAAGGGTGCTAGTACACCATTTTAGTGATCTTTACTTGCATTGTGTTTAGTGATTCATTAGGTGATTAGCGTAGGTGCTTTACGAAGTGCTTAGGTTGATTAGACCACCGCTTATACGCTTGTTCTAGGTTTAGGCCTAGTGTTTAGTGAGGTTTGCATATCTCTTACCACTCTGTGATTGCGCGCACCATTGTTGTAAATCGGAGGGGCTTGTAGTCTTGCGAGATCACACCAACTGCGTTTGTGGTGTGGCCGCTACCGTGTACCGGGGGAAACAAGGCCCGCGACGTTTCGGTCGGAAGCTTGATAGTGAAGACGGCGGGGAGCGGTCCGGGAGAAGCGGTCCGGGAGAGGCTTGTCGGAAGGCACACCGGAGACCCACTTGCGCGTGGGGAAGGCCCAGGGCTATCTACGGAGTTACCCGACCGAGAGCTTGACCCTTGCTTGGGATTCCTTGCGAGGGGTTCCAACGAGGACTTAGGGGAAGCTTGCGCGCTTCTTGATACCTCGGTAAAAATATCGGAGTCGTCAACGGGAGTTTATATATTTCTACCTTGCTCTTTGGTTTTCGCATTTATATTGTTTACATTACTCCTTTTGCGGTAGAGATAACAACACACTAGAAAAATTGTAGCTGCACATTTAGATAGTTTATCTTTTACATATGCTAAGATAAGAAAAAAAGACTATAGTTTAGAGTTAGAATTTTAAGTTACCTAATTCATCCCCTCTTAGGCGTCGCGGTACTCTGCATACCGCTAGAGTGATGGTGTATAATCATCATTCCATCAATATCAGCCATTCACCCTAGAGCAGATAAAACTAAAGAGAAGACAGACTGCGATGCGAGTCAAGAGAGATCTCAACCGGTCAACCCAGAATTGCAAATCGAACAGACAGGTCATCTGATCATGGATAACATTGTCCGAGTTGACGTTTTCCTTGGGTAACATGGGCCGCACAGGGGCTTCGGGCCCTATTGTGCTGGGCCCATTTGAAAGGGTGTCGACAAGATCGCTACGATTAAAAGCCAAGTTACGTACATAACGCACTCCGCCAGAAAAATTGATCAAACTTTTGTATATAGTTTGATTTAGGATAAGTTTGGATTCCTCGGATTTTACTTCCTTGGTCGTACTGTACAAAGATTTTAGAGTACAAAATTTGTATCAAAATATAGGGTATTCTAGATCATCAACCCCCTTTTTCTGTTTTTTTTAGAAAATATTGAGATTCCTTTTAAGCTTAGCATCGGCTAAGACAACCTGCACTAAATAAGGAAAATAACAACTGAACTATACTTCCTCTATTTTAAATATTGAGATTTTCTACTTCATCCGTTTCAAATTATAAGATGTTTTAGCATTTCTATATTCGTAACTTTAATCATGCATCTAGACGTAACGGCCCCGTTCGGCTGC